GCGACCCTGAAAACTTCAAGCCTCGAATTGCTTTACCAAAGAATTACTGTGTGGGTATATATACTGGTCCTCTCAGAGCACTGGGAGGATTTGATGGAGAAGAACAAAAATGAGGACGGAGATGGAAAGAACTAGGTAGAATGATGAGACAACAGAAGAAGGGACTGAGAGCAGGAGGGACCAAGAGGTACTAAGTAAGATAGCAGAAAAGAAACTGTGTAGATAGAATTGGCTTAGAGAAATAAAGTGAATGGACTAAAGAACTCAGTGTGCTTAGATTCATTGAATATCCCTCAGATTAGAATCCTCAGCTGGTTGGAAGACTCTTCCGCGGACCCTGGGAGCAAACAATATAGGCTGGACCTATTATTGTTTGTGTTACTACTGTGTATGTACATTGTCATGTACTTACTGAGAAGCTTTCTCTGGAGATACAGTTTGGTCCTCCCATTTCTGAACCAAGTATATTTGTCTCACAATGTCTTCCCAAGCCCCCTTACCTGAGTGAGGCTGGTCTCATGAGAAAGGAGAACAACAAAGCAGAGTATAGTCATCATGAGTGTTATTGGTCTCATGATATAAAACTGTATCTCTATCCGATATCTACACTCATTCAAAGCCAAGAGCACAGATGGTAGATTGCTCTGTGTACTGTGTGCAGACTGTCCTGTGTTTTCTATAAGGTTAACCTTTGGACTTATCAAACCCCATAGTATGACAGCATCTACACAGGTAATACTAATTTAGTATGTATTCAGTTTGGATTCAACCTTGTTTTTATACATGAAGGTCGTGTTTACAGCACTATCTTCCAAACCAAACAACTGCCATGAAACCAATTGTGTCTACTTGGAAAAGATCAGTGACTAGGCTTGTTGATTGCAGATTTATTGATGTTACATTGTCAGATAAAATGGAATGGAAATGATTGGAAAGGAAACTGGAAAACAATCCAGTTACAAAGGCCAAGCAAGTTATAAAATGTATCAAAAAGGTCAAAGTTCAATATATTGTTGTCAAGACTCTGCTTAAATCAATTGTAATTGTTCTATTCTCCATGGACAATTAAAGGGACCAGTTTAAAGAACAAAGATGCATATATAATCAAAGTTTATTTAAGTACTTGATTTTGCTCAAACTTTATCTAAATATACCACAGTACTTAAAAGTACCAGACAGGTGTAACTAACTTTCTGCATGTTCAATAACCATGCTTGGAGGTTATACTAATGTGGTCAGAGGGATCAAACTTGGAAAATATTTTTCATCTTCCCCTCCAAGATCAACTCGGTCCCAGAGGATATGATACATCTTTCAAAATGTTCTGTTACTGGGGGCTGGAGAGATGGCTGACTGATTAAGGACCCTGGGTGATTTTCAAGAAGACCTGGGATCAATTTTTAGCACCCACGGGGTGTTTAACCATTGTATATAACTTCAGTTTCAGATATCAAGCACTGTCTTCTTGTCTCTGTGAGCAAGTACTTGATTTTGCTCAACCTTTGTCTAAATATGCCACAGTACATAAAAGTACCAGACAGGTGTAACTGACTTTCTGCATGTTCAATAACCACACTTGGAGGTTATACTGAACATGCTGGGCACAGACTTACTTGCAGGCTAAATACCCATACATATAAACTAAACTAAAAACTAAACCAACCTGAGCTATTCTGTGACTCCAGGGAATCACCTGTTCCCTGGAAATTTGTCACAGTGATTTCTACCCAATGTCCAGTCTACAAAAAGAATGCACACCACAGAAGGGAAAATGCCCCCATGATTCAAAGCAAAGCCAAGGTCAAACAAGGCCCTAGATTCATCCTCACACAGATGCACCAACTTACTAATGGAAAGCTAAAAGAGCCAGAAGTTCTTTTGCAATTCAAGTGATCTCCAAGAAACAACTGGTTTTGACAGTTTAAAAAATGTGATTGATTTTGACACCTGAATGATCTTAAACTCCACACAGGAAAGTATAAACCAAGAATAAAATGGGTGTTTTCTTTAACAATCTAATGGATTACACTCCCTAGATGTTAGACTTAAATCCGTATGAGATGTGATATAGCTACTTCTCATTAGTGCTTTTCTTCTTGATAAGAAAACGCTGGACAGTTACAAAATGTCTTGACATTGGCTCAATTTAGCACTGCAGTGCCTTCTGAAAACCAAGAGAGACAGGCTCACCTTTGTTTTAGCTAAAGAAAAAAATCAAACAGTTTTTAAATTTCTTCTCTCTTTTCCTCTCTAGAATCATTGTGGGGGAGGGGACCTTACATTGTGGTTCTAGACATTCTATCCACAATAGTTACCAAAGCTATCAAGACTAGCCCTTGCAGCCAAAATTACCTTGCTCCTGCTACTAAAAGGTATCAAACTTGCATGGCTAAACATGTCACTTGAACAGTTCTGCCTTAAATATTTATAGGTAGCCCCATTCATTTGGACTGTCCTTAGCCCAGGACATCATGAACAGATTAAGTCCTCATAAAACGGCTTCAACATGTGTAAGTCCTATTATTCTGTGGGGCATCTGAGGAGAGACTCTCTCAGAAGCTGAGTCTCTCCTTAACTTTCTAGCCATGTCGGTATATAAGAGAAAAGGTCCAATTGTGCCAATCTTGAGTCACTTGCTTGGAGATGATACTTGAGGGAGAAAGGTACAAACTGAGCTCTGAGTAGATCCAATGAAACAATCTGGGATGCTCTAAAAGATGTGGGACCATAGTGCCCTGGGCAAACTCCAGGAACACATCCCAGGGTGATGCCTCCTAAGCTCCAGCCCATCTCCTAATTAAGCAGCTAGAGCGATCATGGCCCCATCCCTGACAGCAGTTTCTGTCGATCTCTGAGGGGGTGGAGCTGAGAAAGAGAGGAATACAAACAGATGGGAAATTAAAAGTAAGCTTCTTGAGGTACCAACTTGTTGTTGTTCCTGAAGACAACATGAGTAGAACGGGTGGGAAGGCATGGGGTGGGTACCTAAACAGGAGTAATGGTGGAAAGGAGAAGACACAAAGGCCCAATAAAACTGCCTAGCCAAAGCTCAGTAAGCTGATTAGCCTTACGGACTTTCCCATTCCAATGGATAAAGCTTATACTTTTGCTTTTTCTATGGCTCCATCTTCTGTCTTTCTAGCATGTCTATTCTTTGTCTGTCTCAGAGATGGAGCACAGCACTCCCTTAGATGATCACCAGCATCCCTGCTATGGATGTTTGTTACTGGTATATGAAGAATTCCAAGGACTTCTCGTACAACCTTGCTAAAGAAACAGCTGGCTAAATAAAGTCTGTGCTGAGAATCCGTCTTACCACCCAAATAATGGTCATCATCAAGAAAACAAAAGGCAACAATTAATGTTGTGGACATGATGAAAATGAACCTTATATGCAGTTGATTAGAATATAAATTAGTGCAACCATTACAGAATTTAGTGTGATGTTTCCTTGCAAAAAATACTAATTCCTTATAACCCTACTTTACCACTTCTAGCTGTGTGTATGAGGGAATCAAACACAGTATACAATAAGGATGTGTGCACATCATGTTGTTTTGGTACTATTCACATTAACCTAATTATGAAATTAGCTCAGCTGTCCATCAATGTGTGCAAAAGATGGAAATGGGGAGTGAATATAAGTAACATATCTTTTAAATAAATATTAAAATGGTACAATAAACAATATTTTGTGTAACTAATACTACTAATAAAAATAAATAGGGACTGGAAGATGGCTGAGCCAGTGAAGTACCTGTCTCACCAGCATGAAGAACAGTGCCCAGATACCCAGAACACAAGTACTATCCGGTACTTCACCCACATCTCTAGCTCTGGCACTGGTGAGGACATAGCCAGTCCAGTCCTTGAAGTTCATTGACAAGGCAGCCTGTGATGATGAGCTCTAGGTTCAGGGAGAGACCCAGGGGAAATATCTCATGTGTTTCTTTGTGTGTGTGTGAGAGAGAGGGTGGGCAGGGAAGAAGAGAAAGGCTTGTTGATATAGCAGTGAAATCTAGGACATTTTTTTTCTAATTGGTTGAACAGGTTTTTTTTTAAAGTGTCTTAAATAATAAAATAGTCATCAAAGGCAATCCCTGATGTTGACCTCTAACCTATACACATGTACACACACCCACATTGATGTGTTCACCACACACACACACACACACACACACACACACACACACACACACACCGTGTACAAAAATAAATGAATGAATAAATAAACAAATATATAAATAAAATGCAGCTAGGCTTTGAACTGGAGCCACATATGCTAAGTCATATTTAAAGCTACTTTATTTTAAACAGATCTTTTTAATCATAGAAAATGTCTTTAAAAATTGATGATGAAGGAACAATACAGGGGTGTATGATCTGACACAGAGAAGAGATAAAGCACATAAACAATTATTTGATTGTAAGAGCTTCTTCAGAAATATTACAAAAAAACAACTAGTGAAATAACTTTTTTGATGAAAATAAGTTGCCATTTGGTGACAAATGTATGCATAAGCACACACATACATAAACCTAAACAAAATCTTAAATTTCTCATCTGACTAAACTATTGCTTGGTTTTTTTTGTTTTGTTTTGTTTTTGTTTAGTTTTAGTTTTTGCTTTTCTAGACATGGTTCCTCTGTATAGCTTTGGAGCCTTTCCTAGAATTTCCTCTGTAGACCGGGCTAAGTATTGCTTGTTTTAATAGTTTACATAAGAAGAATCTACACTTGAAATATTTCTTTGACACTAAGATGAATCCACAGGATGGCAGTATCTTCTCAGAAACGCAGAGGCAATTTCTTACATGGTTCTCTCTCTCTCTCTCTCTCTCTCTCTCTCTCTCTCTCTCTCTCGGTGTGTGTTGTGGGGATGGGGGGTTAGAGAGAGGAGGAGAGCTTTGATGTGGCAGTGAAAACTAGGACCTTCTTTCTAATTGGATGAAAAGTTTGGGGTTTTTCTTTTTTGCATCTTACAGCAGAAGAATCTGAACTCCCTAAATGCCACTCCTTTTGTTTCGTTGGAAGTGTGACTCTTCAGTGAAAACAATAATGCATCTCTTAAGTGTTTCACTAATGGCACTCTGGCTTCAACTGAATGGTGAGTTTGACCATTTCTATGGGAATATAAAAATAAAATATGTGGGAGTGTTTTCCTCACATATTTTAGGTGGGAGGGTAGAAATACTAACGTTCTCATGCTGAAACAAAAGCAGATGGGAGGCCCATGGAAAAGCCATTCTGGGGTATCTGCATCCATATGCATCCAGTCCTGTTTGTCTGACCTTTATCTTTTTGCACAGGGGTGAGCACCCAGCAGAAGGTGCAGCAGAACCCAGAATCCCTCAGTGTCTCACAGGGAGCCATGGCTTATCTCAACTGCACTTCCAGTGATCGTAATTCTGATTACTTCTGGTGGTACAAACAGCATCCTGGGAAAGGCCTCAAGATGCTGATGTCCATCTTCTCCAACGGTGAGAAGGAAGAAGGCAGATTCACAGTTCACCTCAACAAAGCCAGCCTGCATGTTTCCCTACATATCAGAGACTCCCAGCCCAGTGACTCAGCTGTCTACTTCTGTGCAGTGAGCACACAGTGCTCCCCAGGCACCTTCAGCCTGCACCCAAACCTACTGGGTCCCAGCAAGGTCTGAGCTACAGTGCAGAAAACAGGGTGGAGAAATTCTTATTATCTCCTTGTACTCCATTTACAACGGGAATTAAGGGTCCTAGGAGGGAGAGTTTGACTCACAGGGAAAATACTTTATTATTCTGAGAATGCATGAAACACACAAATAAAATATTTTCTACTTTATTTTAACTGAAATAATTATACATTATATTTTAATTAAGGTTTCATGTCCTCCATTTCTTTCCAGATCCTTCCCACTTCCCCACATAACCAACACCACAACTACTTTCTCTTTATCTCTCTCTTTAGAACACAAACAGGCAAAAAAAAATAAGGAAAGAAAGAAAAGACACAAGAAGCACACATACAGAGAAATATTGTTTTGAGTCAGAAGGAATGGTACCTTGGTATATTGGAGCCAGGTAACAGCACAAAGTCACACCATGCAACAGGCCTCACACAAGAGAGATTTACTGGGGGGAAGGGAAGAGGGTAAAGGGAGTCTGCCTCTGATCAAGGGTGGAGAGGGAAAAGAGGGTGGGCTGTGAAGACACTGGCTTTTTGTAAAAGGGTATAGTACGTGTGCATAGGGAGAATACGTGACTCATGGCAACAGTAGAAATGTGTTACTGAAGGTGGACTTGGGGGAGGGTGGGGTCTTCCAACACACATTAAAACAAAATCAGTAAAAACACAAATCTGGAAAACATAATACACAAGCAATACATCTGTAATTAAAAATAAGTCCCAACAAAGCAATATGAGACAAAATTTCTACAAAAATACCATGGAGTTAGTTGTGTTTGCCATCTATTGCTAGGAATGGGGCACATCTTGTACTGTGGTTTCAATGTCCAGTGAGACTCCATTGGAGAAAACTGATTTTTCCTTAGCAAGCACATGTCAGTTGGAGATACCTTCTTGATTAGTGAGGGATGGGAGCCTGTGTGCACATCTCAGCACTTGGGACCACACCTGGCTTGAACCTGTGCAGACCTTGCACATGCTGCCACAATCTCCATGAGTTCATACATAAACAAGTTCTGTTTTCATCTACTCCCTAGGGCTCTTACAATCTTTCCATCTCTTCTTTCATGGGGTTCCCTGTGCACTAACGGGAGGGATTTGATGAAAACATCTCATTTAGGACTAAGTGTTCCCAAACCTCTCACTTTGCACACTGTCCAGTTGTGGGTCTCTGTATTAGTTTCCATCTACTGCAAGAGGAAGTTTCTGTGATAGCTGAGTGAGACACTGATGCATGGGATAGTAGATGTGTTAGAACTGAATTGAATTCATCTGGCATAGGCCTTTGGGGGGGGGGTTGGGAGACTTTTAATTGTTGCTTTTATTAAACTAGGGGTTTAAGTCTGCTTAAATTGCTTATCAGATGTTGATTTAACTTTGGTTCCTCGAATAAATCAAGAAAGTTATTCATTTCTTTTAGGTTTTCTAGTTTGGTGGAGTACATTTTTTTTTACAATATGTCCTTATGATTCTGTGGATATCCTTGGTGTCTGCTGTGATGATCCTATTGTTTTGTTTTGTCTTGAATACTATTAACTTGGATCTTCTCTGTCTGTCTTTAGTTAGTTTGATAAGAGTTTATCAATCATATTGATTTTCTCAAAGAACTAACTCTTCACTTCATTGGTTCTTTCTATTATTTTTGTTTGTTTGTTTCTCTTTTATCTACCTCAGTGCTGAGTTTGATTATTTCTTGGCATCTACTATTTTGGGGTATTATTTCTCCATTTTATTCTAGAGCATTCAGGTGTGCCATTAAGCTGCTAATATGAGATCTCTCTAATTGTTTTTGTTTGTTTTCTTGTTTATTTCTTAATATAGGCACTTAATAGTATGAAATTGCCTCTTAGAACCACCTTTATTGTGTTCCATAGTTTGGGTATGTTGTGCTTTCCTTTCTATTCAATTCTAAAAAGTTATTTATTTCCAATTGAAGTTCTGTCTTGACCTATTTTTCATTTAGTAGTGAGTCATTCTATTTCTATGAGTTTGTAAACATTCTATTGTTGATATCCAGCTTTAATCCATGGTGGTCAGATAGAATTCAGGGTGTTATCTCACTTTGGGTTTTTTTTTTGTTTGTTTGTTTGTTTGTTTGTTTTTTGTATTTGTTGAGACTTTCATTTGCCCAAGTATGTTGTCAATTTTGGAGAAGATTCCATGAGATACTGAGAAGAAGGTATATTCTTTCCTGTTTGGGTAAAATGTTCAGTAAATATGTGCTAGTCCACTTGATTTATGATGTAATTTAAGTTCAGCATTTCTGAACTTTAGTCTAATTTAGTTTTTGTCTGGATATTCTGTCTATTGGTGAAGAGTGAGGTATCGAAATCACCCACTATCACTGTGTGAGGATAAATATGTGATTTTAACTATAGTGTGTTTTTTTTTTTTATGAACTTGGGTGCCCTTATGTTTTGCGCATAAATGTTTAGAATTACAATATCCTCTTGATGGATTTTTGCTTTGTCCATTGTTCTAATGTGTAGTGGGTAGCCATTCCAGCTTTGATCTGGAAGTTCCAACCCCCATTGAGGCTTAGGTAACTGTCATGCCTACAAGGCGGGGCCAAGAGAGGACCCTGAAGACCAGAGATCCTGATGTGCTGGCTCGCTTGATTCCTGGACCCTGGACGCTAGAGATAGACCGAGCAGAATTCTCCAGAGAACACCACCGGACTGCGCTACACCTTTCCCAGATCCTGTAAACTATCCCTTCACTTGTAAGTTGCCCCACAAAATATACCTTCCTTTTAACTACATGGAGTGACCTTAATAATCTCACTAATACTAATGTCCTTCCATATCTCTTCTGATCAGTTTTGATTTGAAGTCTATTTTTGTCAGATATTAAAATGTCTACACTCTCTTGCTTCTTAGGTCCAATTACTTGAAATATCTTTTAAGATACAAACATTAAAGAAATTTATTTGTTGCATTTAACTTGAGGCTCATGCCAGGAGAGGGAACCCATTCCTGGATGTTCAGGAACCAGAAATTGGATAGCCCAGAGACCTAGGGTAAAACCAAACACAACTGTCCAAAATAAATAAATAGATAAATTAAATTATTCATAATGTTAAATAAAAAATTTCTAACGCAAAGCATCCAGGAAATTTGGGACACTATCAAAAGACCAAACATAACAATAATAAGAATAGAAGAAGAAACCCAGCTCAAAAAACCAGAGAATGTATTTAACAAAATTATAGAAGACAATTTTCTCAACCTAAATAAGGACATGCCTATAAAGGTATATGAACTTTATAGAAGACCAACTAGATTGGATCAGAAAAGAAAATTCTCTTGCTATATGATAATTAAAACACTAAACATACAGAACAAAGAAAGAATATTAAAAGCAGTAAGGGGAAAAGGCCAAGTAACATATAAAGACAGACCTATTAGTATCACACTCAACTTCTCAATGGAGACCCTAAAATCCAGAAGGGCCTGGAATGGTGTCTTGTAGACTCTGAGAGACCACAGATGCCAGCCCAGATTACTATATCCAGTAAAGCTGTCAATCATCATAGATGGAGAAACAAGATATTTCATGACAAACTCAAATTTAAGCACTATCTATCCACAAACCTAGCCCTATAGTGGGTACTAGAAGGAAAACTACAACTCAAGAAATTAACTTGTGTACACCCAAAAAACCACAGACAATAGATAATCTCACACCAGCAAATTCCAAAGAAGGGAAACCACACACACACACACACACACACACACACACACACACACACATACACTACAACCACCAACAATGAAATAACCAGATCAACAATCATTGGTCATTAATATCTCTCAATATTAATGGACTCAATTTGCCAACAAAAAGACATAGACTAAGAGACTAATGTATTGGATATGAAAACAGGTTCCATCATTCTGCTGCATACAAGAAACACACCTCAATGTAGTGGATATCTATTTTATGACCCTGAAGTGCAGCCCTAGAGATATGGCAGGTAACTGCTCTACCTGCCTATGACCTTGAAGTACATGCCCCAGGGGCATGTCCTCTCAGCTACTCTTAAAAACTGAGATGCACATACGCAGCTCTATTCTCTCGCTCACAGGCTTGGATGCAGGACTGAGTAAGATGACTGGAATTGCATGAGATTGTGCCCCAGCATTCCATTCTGTTCTGTACAGTGAGTTTTTCTCCCCTAATAAATTCCTTTGCCTTTGAGCAGACTCCATGGATTTCTCACATTATCTCAACATCAAAAATAGACATTACCTCAGAGTAAAGGGTTGAAAAAAGTTTCCAATCAAATGGAACTAAGAAGCAAACTGGTGTAGCTATCCTAATATCTAACAAAATAGACTTCTAACCAAAATTAACCAAAAGGGATGAAGAAGAGCCAGGCAGTGGTGGCACACACCTTTAATCCCAGCACTTGGGAGGAAGAGGCAGGCGGATGTCTGTGAGTTCGAGGCCAGCCTGGTCTACAGAGTGGGATCCAGGACAGGCACCAAAGCTACACAGAGAAACCCTGTCTCAAGAAACCAAAAAAAAAAAAAAAAAGCGGGGAGGGGGGGAATGAAGAAGGACGTTTCATATTCAACAAAAGAAAAATCCATCAAGAAGATGTTTCAATTCTGAACATCCATGCCCCAAATGTAAGGGTACCCACATTTGTAAAAGAAACATTACTAAAACTTAAATCACACACAGAACCCCACAAAATAATAATGGAAGACTTTAACAATCCACTTTCACAAATGGATAGGTCATCCAGACAGAAACTAAACAGAGAAATAATGGAACTAACAGATGTTATAACTCAAAGGGACCTAACATATCTACAGAACATTTCACCCAAACACAAAAGAATATACCTGTTGTTTGAATCTTAGATGGTCTTTTAATTAAAAAAAAAAAAAAAAAAAAACAAACAAACAAAAAAATCCCAGTGCTTGAGATATCATGCCTTTGCTTGGAAAGCACACACACCTTTAATCTCAGGAAGTAATATGGTAGGGCAGAGAAAGGTATATAAGGCATGAGGAAACAGGAACTCACTCTCTTGAGGCCGAGGATTTCATAGAGT